GGCAGAGGCAAGTTGGCGACGCTTTTTTGTTTATTGTCTTGTAGCTTTTTGTTTTTTATGCGTCAGACGGGCTATGGTGGTAGTGTGCTGCKCTGTACGTTTGTTTCGTAGTGACGCCTCGAGGTGGTATGTCTCCTGGTGGTATGTTTTTACGGGTGTMGTTGACCTGAGGTGCGAACGTATAGATCGAGTTCTGAGAGGGGGGGAGGAGGGAGCAAGGAGCTTGCTGGGGGTAGCCCTGTAGGAGATTCGGATAGGTGGCARGTAGYTGTGTAGTGGATAGCCTTGCTTTGTAGGGGGGATATGRGGTATACAGCAACTGCGCTTTGCGCTRGTGTAGTTGTTGCTGGGAACTAATTAGGGGTAGGGTGCATGTTGTCTCGTAGCGTATTGCAGAAGGTCATTTTTTCGTTGTAGTTGGATGGTGTGCGACTATGTCCGTTCTCGTTTTTCGTCGTATCTACTCTTCCTTCCTCGTGCGCCTGTTTGTACTCTTGCGTGTCAGTTGTGTCGTTTCGGATGGTGCATTGGTGGTCGTGACCCATGAGAAGAAACGGGTTTTGCTTTTGTTTTATTTGTCAGTCTTCCATTCGCTCTTTATTTTTATGTTGTTACTTTTAGTTCCATATTTCTATCAAGCAAGTAGCCGGTGACCCATAACTGGTATGCCTAGCCTTGTTATGTGGTACACATACCAAAGTTTTGTCAAGTTTGCAACAAGGGCGTGCACTAGGCTATCGGTGGGTTGGTACCGGGGCTGTAGGCAAACCTTTGAAGTTTCCTTCGTTTTATTGGTTGGATAGGTATCTATCTTTATAATTTTATACAATTCTTTATTTTATTTAATTTAATCTTATTTTATTTTTGTTTTATTTTATTTTGTTTTATTTATTTAGTTTATTCATTTTATTTATTTTATTTTTTATTTTATCTTTTTATTTTTTTATTTATTTTATTTTATTTTTTATTTATTTATTTTATTTTACTCTATTTATTTTATTTTTGTTAATTTACTTATTTATTTATTAACTTCTTTTATTAATTTTTTTTATTATTTATTTACTAGTTTACTTTATTTTTATTTTTTATAAAAAAAATTAATTTCATTTTTTTAATTTTATTTACTTTATTATTTTTTTATATATGTATATTTTTTAAATTTATTTCATTATATCTTATTTATTTTATTCATTTTATTATTGTTTTTTTTACTTATTTATTTCCTTTTATTAAAAAAAAAAGGTTTTTATTATTAATATTTGTCTATTTATTTATTTATTATTTTATTATTTATTTACTGAATTACTTTCTTAATTTCTTTTAATTTTATTAAGAAATGGATATGTGTGTGTGTGTGTGTGTGTGTGTGTGTGTGTG